TTCCCGGTCAGGGTATATGCCCAGGTTGTGGGCTTAACCTCCAGTGTGGGTTGTGCAGGAGGCAGCTGATAAATGATGTTTCTCATCATTGATGTTTCTCTCTCTCTCCCTCTTCCTCCCTCTCTGAAAGGAAAAATTAGATAGATAGATAGATAGATAGATAGATAGATAGATAGATATAGATATAGATATAGATATATAAATATATATCTATATATATATTATTTTTTTTAATAAAAAAAAAGGGAGGCAAGTTATATTTTAAAAGGAGAAGCCACAACCTAGCCAACTGGCTCAGTGGATGGAGTATCAATACGCAGACTGAAGGGTCCCAAGTTCCATTTTGGCCAAGGGCATGGACCTTGGTTGCAGGTTAAATCCTGGCCCTGGTCGGAGCTCGTGTGGGAGGCAACCAATCAATGTGTATCTCTTACATCAATGTTTCTTTTTCTGTCTCTCCTCCTTCCTTCCACTCGGATGAAGATTTACAGGAGGGAGAGAGGGAGAGAGAGAGATACGGAACATGCTGGTCCCATACCCATGTGTGGCAAATAAAACTCAGGAGGGGTATCTCAGCTAAAGAAGTTCCCCTTGAGGAGTGAGTGTCCCAGTCCCACACCAGGGCCCCCCAGCTCAGGAATCTAGTGCTGGGAAGAGAAGGTCCCATAACTTCTGGCTGTGAAGACCAGCAGAGATTATGACTGAGTGACATGGAGGCTGCTGGAGTCCCAGGTGTTCCTCTTAAAGGGGCACACACATGGACTTACTCAGACACTCCCTCTGAGCTCCAGCGCTGGGCAGTAGCTTGAAAGGCACCAGGGACACAGGGAGGAACCAAACTGTCTGCTATCAGTCAGAGAGCTGGGGGACAGCTTTCTGCCAGATAAAAGTGCTTGCTGAGGCCATTTTCTTTTGATCAGCTCTCTCCCACAGAGCCAGAATGCAGGCATCATACCTGAGACCCTATCAACCTGGCTAACACTGTTTGCCCTACCCTGCTGATTCCCTGAGACCCCCACCCTACCCAACTGTGGGTCCACCCAACCCATTTCCAGGGGGGAGGGGATTTCCATAAGAAAGGCCTGTCTTGGCTCACATTTCAGACTTCCCTAAAACTTTATAAATAAGCAGCATCTGGCCTCAGCATACTTCATACCTCTTGATAAGTGGTTCCAGGCCCAGCACTAGCATCAGCCATCTGCAAATTGCCTTGTATCTCATGCTGGGTGGCCCTGCACAGAGCACAGGCAATGACTGACCTTGGCTTACACCTCCTGGGAGGCTCCACAGCCAGTGCAACCAGTGGACAGTTTCAGAACACATTAAAGCATCACCCAACCTACCTCCACAGTGACACACTCAAGAGGCAGACTCAGCATAACCAGAGCTCTGGTGAAGTTAGTCCTTCTCTGTGAGGTGGGCTCCTGCACAGCTGATCCTCCACGGTTGGTGGGCGCAGCCAGTCCTTGCAACCAATCAGCCTGGAGATAAACCCCTCCCATGCACATGCCAACAGCAATCAAGGCTCAAGTACAACAGGAGGATGTACACAGTCCACACAGTGGGTGGGGCACAACTGGAGTGCCCAGATCAGATAATCAAGGAGGCTGTGCCACTGGACCCTAGGGGGCACCTACTACATTAGGCCACTCTACCAAGTCCAGGAGACATTAGAAACAAACACAGGGAGACAAAGAAGCATGACCCAAATGAAAGAATAGAACAAAACTCCAGAGAAAGAACTAAAACAAAATGGAGACAAGCAATCTACTAGAGGCAGAGTTCAAAACACTGGTTATAAGGATGCTCAACAAACTTAGGGGAAGAGTGGATGAACATAATGAGAACTTCAAAAGCATTAAAAAAAGACATGGAAACCATAAAAAAGAGCCAGTTAGAAATGAAGAATACACTAACTGAAATGAAGAATAATTTACAGGGAATCAACAATAAAGTAGATGAAGATGAGAATTAAATCAGCAATTTGAAACCTAAGGAAGCAAAAAATACCCAGTCAAATCATTACAGCAAAAAGAAAAAATAATCCCCCCAAATGAGGATAGCATAAGAAGCCTCTGAAACAACTTCAAGCAAACCAAGATTCGCATTATGGGGGTACTAGAAGAAAGAGAAATAAAACCTATTTGAAAAAATAATGACAGAAAACTTCCCTAACCTGGTGAAGAAATAGACATACAAATCCAAGAAGCACAGAGAGTCCCAAACAAGATGAACCCAAGGAGGTCCACACTAAGACACCATAATTAAAATGCAAAAGGTGAAGCCCTGGCCAGTGTGACTGTTTGTTGGAGCATCATCTCATACACCAAAAGGTGATAGGTTTGATTCCTGGTCAGGGCACATACCCAGTTGTTGGTTCAATACCCAATGGGGGTGCATGTGACAGGCAACTGATCGATGGTTCTCTTTCACACCCTCTCTCTAGAAAATCAATAATTTTTAAAAAATGCAAAATGTTAAAGACAAAGAGAGACTCTTAAAAGTAGCAAGAGAAACACTGTTAGTTACCTACAAAGGAGCTCCCATAAGACTGTCAGCTTATTTCTCAACAGAAATATTGCAGGCCAGAAGGGAGTGGCGAGAAATATTCAAAATGATGAAAAGCAAAAACCTACAAGATTACTCTACTAGGCAAAGTTGTCATTTAGAATTAAAGGACAAAGAGCTTCCTAGGCAAGGAAAAGCTAAAGGAATTTATCACCATCAAACCAGTATTACATGAAATGTTAAAGTCTTCTTTAAGAAGAACAGAACAATAAAATGGCAATATATACATATCTATAATAATAAAAGCATAAAATGCTAATTAGACCAGAGGTCCTTTCAGACAAAGCCATGATGGCGGGGGCCAAGGAAGAGATGGTAACAGTGGTGGCGAGAGCCAAGCCCCTTGCATGAATTTCGTGCATGGGGCCTCTAGTCTATCAATAAATGAATCTTAAAAAATAAATAAATAAAGTGAAGAAACAGGACAGAAATAGACCCATACAGAGACCAATTTGCCATTTGCTGTTTGGGGGAATGGGTGAAAAAGGTGAAAGGATTAAGAAGTATAAATTGTCTATTACAGAGTAGTAATGGAGATGTAAAGTATAACACAAGGAATACAGTCAATAATGTCTAATAACTATATATGGTGTCAAGATGGATGTGAGATTTATTGAGATGATTACTTAGTAAGTTATATAATATCTAATCATTATTTTGTACATATGAAACTAGTATAATATTGTATGTCAACTAATTGAAAAATGATTTTTTTAAAGGAAAGAAATTCTGGCAGTCTACAGCATGGATGAGCTTGAGAACACAAAAGGACAAATATTGTGTGATCCCACTTATATGACGGACCAAGAGTAGTCAAAGCCATAGAAAGTAGGTGATAGTGCCATGGGCTGAGGAAAGAAGGAATGGGCCATAACCAGTTGCTCAGTGGTTAGACCATCAGCCCATGGACTGAAGGGTCCTGGATTTGACTCTGGTCAAGGGCAAGTACCTGGGTTGCAGGCTCGATCCCTAGCTCAGCCAGGGCACATGTAGGAGGCAATCAGTCAATGTCTCTCTTACATTGATGTTTCTGTCTATCTCTTCTACTTCCTTCCACTTTCTCTAAAATCATGGAAAAAATATCCTCTGGTGAGGATTAACAAAAAGGAAGAAAGGAAGGAAGAGAGGGAGGGAGGGAGGGAGGGAAGTAGGGAAGGAGGGAGGGAAGGAAATTGTATTTAGTAGGAAGTTTCAGGTCTTTGAGATGAAATGGTGATGGCTATACACTGAATCTCCTAAATACCACTGAACTGTACACCTGGAAATTGGAAGAAAAACAAATCATGGCACTGTTTCAGTAAACTAACAATTCTATGCCACAAGAGGTCACAGTTCTATTTCTAGTCAGGGCACATGAGAAGGTGGCAGGCTCAATCTCCAGTAGGGATCATGCAAGAGGCAGACAATTGATGTTACCCTCCCACATCGCATTTCTCTCTTTTCCTTCCTCTCAATAATAATAATAAGTTTTTTAATCAATATTAATAATAGGTTTTTTAAAAGTAAGCAATTAAACATGTTATCCTGAATCCTCTACTAAAACAGAAAATTTTATTAGTGAAAAAATGGGCCAATAGCTTGTAGTGTACTTAATACTAATGTACCAAAGTTACTTTCTTAGTTTTGACATATATACCATGACTACTAAGATGTTAACATTAGGGAAACTAGATAAAGGGTATACAGAGTGGTTCTCAACCTTCCTAATGCCGCGACCCTTTAATACAGTTCATGTTGTGGTGACCCTCAACCATAAAATTATTTTCGTTGCTACTTCATAACTGTAATTTTGCTACTGTTAATAAATTATAATGTAAATATCTGTGTTTTCCGATGGTCTTATGCAACCCTGCTAGCCCACAGGTTGAGAACCGCTGCTGTAGAGCCTAAGACCATCAGAAAACACAGATACTTACATTATAATTCATTAACAGTAGCAAAGTTACAGTTATGAAGTAGCAACGAAAATAATTTTATGTTGGGGTCACCACAACATGAGGAGCTGTATTAAAGGGTTGCGGCATTAGAAAGGTTGAGAACCATTGGTATACCAAAACTGGTTGTACTATCTTTGCAAGATTTCTTTAAATCTAATATTATTCCAAAATAAAAGTTTATTTTAAAATGAGTTTTAAAAATCAAGCAACAACTTTAAAGTTAGAATTCCTACATAGAAGACAAAGACAACACAAACATATTAGAATTGACTAAGCAAGCAGCAAAATATGAATACCTATACGGATAGCCACAGGTGTGGAATTTTATTGTACTGTCCACTGTACCAGCTAGGAACTGTGAGATTGCTAGTGTAAATTTTCACCACAAAACATTATCTCAGAACCCACTAATTGCAAAAGGCAGGCTGTAAATTTTCACCACAAAACATTATCTCAGAACCCACTAATTGCAAAAGGCAGGCTGTTGAAGTTCACATTGCAGCACTAGTTCCGTAACGACCTGGGTGCCTTTTCCCACTTGGGTCACACGCGTTTCTTATTGTGGATACAAGGTAAACCTCCTTCCGCCAACTCGTGATTTTATCTTTGGTAAGCTGATTGTCAGTTTGTGAGCAGCCTCTTTGGAGTCAATAATGAACCTCGGCGTATCGCTCAGACCAGATGGCCTTGACTCGCGGTCGTCTTCTGGCTTTAACATGGTGCAGAGAATGTAAGCTTATTTGGAAGGATACAGGCACCTGCACACACGTGCGGGGTCACTTTAGCCACTGGAAGCCCGTGTTCCATGTGCTGTCGTTCTTAGAGGAAAAAGACCATGAAGCTTCATCAGTCACCAAGTGGGGGGAAGCAACTGGTAGAAACGTCTTGCTTTGCTCTGAGTCTATTTAAACCCCCGCTCAGAACGAAGTGGGAACAAAGCTCTTCTCAGAAAGACGACATGAACACGGAGGTTCTCTTTCCCAGCCGGCTTCTTTCCTGGGACAGACCAACTGTGTAAAAGCTGATCCGACTCAGAGAAGCCGAGGAGATACACTGTCGCTTTAACTACTCTGCCAAGGGAGAAACGACTAAGAGCATTGTCTCTCCTTCCCTCCCCTCCAAAGCCAGTCCTCTGGGCACCGAGGGGCTGCAGCCGCAGGTGCGAGGAGCTACAGCTGCAGGTGCGGCTTGCATTTCCCTCCTCCACGACCTAAGGTCAGATAGTTAGCCTGCTTTGACCACAAATAGAGCTCTTAATTTCTCTAGCACAACCTGAACTTGATATGAGGCACTTACACAAAGAATGGTGCAGACAAGAAGGCAGCTTTATTGTACTTTGGGAGGGATAACATGATTCCATTTAGGGAAGGAAAAAAAAAGCCATTGACACTGAGTGAGCAACAGCGCCATCTAGTGAAATGGTGGCGCACCACCAGGCTTCAGAGACTAGCTAGGAACTGTGAGATGTGCTAGTGTAAATTTTCACCACAAAACAACAAAGATAATTGGGTCTTCAGAGAACCTAATTTTAAGAAACAATTTTTATCTTCGAAATGCATAAATGTGCTTTCTCCGCTTTTTTGAGTAACAAACGAGTTTTGTTTTGAACAGGCCATGAAATTAAGTCTCAGTTTCAAAGTTAAGAAACACTGGGGCAACCCGCCTCTTTGAACATCTAACACTCTTGCACTCTCGTTCAACAGTCTAATAGCGACCCCGGATAATGACAGACAGTTCCTAAAGAAGCAAAACTCAACTGCACAAGAACTCCATTGTTTACTCATTTCCGCCTTCTATCCTTAACAGTCTATGGTGCAAAGTATTTTCACTTCACTTATTTGAATTCCTGGAAAAAAGCTTTAGAGCGTACCAACAATTCTGTATAAATCACATAACCCAACTCTTATTGTGACCACACCAGGACAGCGGAGCCTCAGCGTGAGGATGTGGGAGTGCCGCTCCCAATGAACAGCAAAGCCCTTCTTCTCAAGGCTGCACAGCGCCTCTCCCCCAGGTGCTGCAGTAACCGTGTTGATTTGATGACTTCTATGAGCTTACAGATGGGGATATTTAGTGAAACACCTGGCTGGGAAAAGAAATAAAGTTGTGACAATAACATATTGTTCATAAACAGCAATCTCGAATCGGTATCTCTGTGATTACGAGATTTTAGATTCTGGGTTAGCGCTCTGCTCTTTGGAATATCCACAACGGTTGCTGACCAGCTAATGAGTTCCTGCATTGCAACATTTCTGGGTATATGGTGGAGGCACTCACAGATTCTAGAATGCACAAGTCCGACAGTCTTCATCAGCCCATATGCTTGGCAACTAATAAATTCAGGGAAGGATTTCAGGATGAACCAAGTTCTGGGAAAGAGGTATAAAAGTGTAGGGGAAGAAGTGGAATTAAAACATCTTTAGGCTCCATTTTTTTTTTTTTTTTTTTTGGTAGACATAACTGAATGTTTCAGTTCTGAGAACCTGAGATTGTCCAGAAACACAAAGTTCTGAGTGTAGGACGTTAGCTACCACAAAGGCAGACCCAGTGTTTTGCATTCCCCAAAGCGACATGAACTGGGGAGTGGGTGGTAGTCCCTGAAGTACTGTATCCAAGTGAGGTGGTTCTCTTGAGGGCTGGTCTGACTGCCTCAGTGTTCACAATTCACATTCCCCCTACCCCGCCCCGTCCCCCCCCCCCCCCCCCCCCCGCCTCAGTCCTTCCTGCAGCTGCATCTTCCACATGACGTGACTAGTGGGTGTCCCTGAAGTCAAAGCAGTGCAAGGTCCTGGGAGCCTTTCATGAACTCAAACCTGATACCGAAGTCTCGCCAAAAGAGTTTATTAGCATGATTAAAACATTTTCTTGAATAAGGACAGAAAGATGTCTAAACAGGAAAGAGTGCCTGTGGCTATACCTTATAACCAGTATTTGTAACTGAAGGACACCTTCACCGCCAGTCTTCACTTCGTCAGAAACAACCCACATTTGCTGTTTCCGGGGGAAGTCACGACTATTGCTAGGCCTTGGAAGGAGTCCCTACTGCAATTGAGTATAAAAAATATCTCCTGTAATTGGAGTGAGACCTGCATACTGAGAAAGAGCTGATAAAATCACCAAAGAGTTGGGTTGTTTTTTAAAAAGACATTCCTTTTACACACTACAAAGAAATAATTAATATTTTGGCTTTTTAAATTCCTACATGATCTTTAGCCCGACAGTCCCCACTCCTCCCCGGCATAAAGCAGAATGCAGACTCCGGGTTACACGGGTTTGAGAACGAAGACAGCATCGTCCAGGACGTAGTAGTCGTTGTACATGTCCCCTTCGCACAGATACGGCAGTCTGGTGAAAGCCTCGATAACAAAACCCGCTTTCCCGAAAACTTCAGGCAGACTGTTCACTTGCTCTTCCCAGTTCTGTCCCTTGATTTCCAAAATTTCTGATGGCTTGTCCCACTTGCCACCTACTAAAACAAAGAAAACATTAAGTTAAATTCTTGAACAAGCAAGTTGTTTGAAGAGGAGGGAGGGCAGAGGGTGCTACGTGCTGGGTGCTCTGCTGACTCCCTCCCAGGCCCCTGGGGTCGGGGACAGAGACCAGGGGCAGACTGAGCAAGGCTGGAGGAGCCCGGCTGGCAGGCCCATGCGTGTCAGAGCAGCAGGAGCGCCGGGTTCCGCCCCAAAGCTCACCAAGCACTGGAACACGGAGGCAGGAAAAACACGTGCTCCTGGAAAGAGGGTTTTGGATAAATACAAGCAAACACCACTGCTGTAGTAAACTTATGCAACATATTAGGTTTATTAGGCCAAAAATAAAACTACATTAATACATAATTTTAATTTATAAAAATAGATAATCAGAGTGCTTTTCAAGAGAAGTTGACCCACTCTCTAACTTTTCTTTAAAAAAAAAAAAAAATATATATATATATATATATATATATATATATATATATGATTGATTTCATAGAGGGAGAGAGAAATAGAAACATCAGTGATGAGACTCATTGATTGGTTGTCTCCTGCATGCACCCAACTGGGGATCGGACCCACAACATGGGCATGTGCCCTTGACTGGAATTGAACCTGGGACCCTCAGTCCGCAGGCCAATGCTCTATCCACTGAGCCAAACCAGCTAGAGCCACTCCCTAACTTTTCAAAATAACTGCATAAAAGTAAAGCTCCGACCAGAGACAGCGGGAGAGCAGGTGTGGCCCGCATGCCCTAAGCATCACGGGGGCAGAGGGAGGTCTTCAGCTCACACACATACCAAGCATGGACTAGCGACACACACAATGTAAATTCAGGGTGCCTGTTGATACTATGGTGACACTAACACACAAAACTTAAGTGTTATAAATGCAGACTGGGGAAAACGTTCTGTACGTAGGAAACCATGTCACTGTCTGTGCCCAGAGCACAAGCACTGAGTGGGGAGGTGTCACAAGGACGCACTCTCCTGCCTCTCCTGCCACCAGCGCCAGCACGTGGCCAGAGCTCAGGCACACACACTCGGCCCTGCATGAAGAGCCGGTGCCCCGGAGTGAGAATGGAGCCTTCCTCCCCTCCCCCCCCGGGGGGGTGTTGCAGTGGCAGGGCGCCAAGGCTGGGGAGCACCGGTCAGGTTCCTGGCGGTAGCGTGGGCTTCAGATCAGCTTGATGGAGTGACTGGGCATTTTTCTTGGCTGCAGCCCACATGCGGTTCTCCCCCCTTCCCAGTGGCTCTGTGACCCTCCATCCTTTCCTTAAATTCCCTCTTGCTTAGGTCAGCAGAGTCCATTTGAGCAGAGTTCTTTTTGCTTAGAAAGAACCTGAGCAGGAGGCAGGCGGAGCAGGGTTGGCAGGTATGGATGACAGGTTCCACACACCTGCTTCCCGACACAGTAAAAAGGGGTCACACAAAACTGGCCCAGCCGCTTCTGGCACACAGCGCATTGCTCATACTGTGAGGTGTTGACCATTCACTAATCTCGCCCTGCTCAGACCCAGCAGTGACTCCCAGGACCGGCCAGGAGCTGCGCCGGACATTGCAGTAATTCTCCTTCCGGGAACACGCCAGGTTCCAGGCTCACTCAGACCGCCCAGTGCCGGGGGCTTTGTAAAAAGCCGAGGCAGATGAATCATGTGAACACCTAGAAATGTGCTCTAGGCTCAAGTCTCAACCTCAAATGGCGAAACTGCATTACAAACTACATTTACACAATTTCAAAAAGTTCCTGATTATGGTTCCTTAATAAGAGTTCCTCTCTTCAGTTCTTCCTTTCTAAAAAGAGGAAAACACAGACAACACTCTCCAAACACACGCTGTCTGCCCCACACAGACATGGAGACTGTGCACGGGGCCAGGGCCCTCCTCGGCCTGGAAGTCGGTCTGATTCTGTGCTGTGTCGGTAAGCTGCTTTTTCTCCTCCACTTGACTTAAATCAATTGCTTTTTTCTTGCCTAATGCATTTATATTTTAAGCCCCTACAAAATAATTTTCAAATGTATAGCACGATGGAAATTGTCTAAAGTTTCCTTTTCCCCAGGAAAATAGGGGAGAAAAGGGCAGCTGAGGACGTTTCACGTTAGCAATGAAACATCCCCTCTGCTCTGGCTGCTGTGCACAGAGGACCTCATCAAAGGGGGAGGCCTGCAGTTCCGGGTGCCGGCCATCAGTGAGGAGCGCCCACCCCCCCAGAGGGACAGGGCGAGCCGAGCACACACCCTGATTGCCTCCCAAGGGCAGTGCTTCTGAAACGCCGCGTCTGGGAATGGGAGTGGCTGCGGGGAGGGGGAAGGACGGACTGCTTCAGCTCCTTTCCCGGAGTGACCGCCTGATCACAGACCCGAGTTTAAATTCTGCTGCTTCTGTTTTCATCCATGAAAGAAAGTGGTTCCCACTCACAATTCTAACAATCTCATCCTAGTTCTGATACATCTAATGATCTCAGTTTTGACCCACAAAGTTTGGGTCGTAGGGCACAGAAGGCAGCAAAAGCTCTTAAAATTAACTTTTTACCTGTTAAAAATAAATATAAAAATGTTAACAGTGGTTATTTTGGGTGAAAGACCTATATGGGTGATTTCTCACTTCTACTCTCAATATTCTATTAGGTGCACTTACGTTTGTAAGCTTGTCACTGGTGTGATTTTAAAGTAGAACCTGCTCTTTTAAAGATGCTCCCTGAAGGCGGGAGTGGGCAGGTGGGGCCGCCGTGCCAGCTGCTGCTTCCGCACGCTCAAAGCTGTCGCTAGAGGCTTTCTCAGTGTCAAATATTCGCTTTTAACTTATTTTCTAGTTTTGATTTTAAAAATAGTAAAATAACCTTTTTAAATTCCCTCCACCAAGGAGATAAACTTTCAACCTTTTCAGAGGAGCAGGCGGTGTGCCCACATTGTCCCAACTTCTCTTTTTGTGGAAATGTTGCCTAACTGGGCAGGAAGAAACAGAAGTTTCCTCACAGTCTGCTCTCACAACTCAGGAAACCCTACCGCTCATTTGTTCCCACTCAGACTCATTTTGCAGAACTGGAAATAGGCGGAGATTTAAAACTCCAGAATTGCAAAAATTTCTTTTATCCTGGGCGCTGGTGCTCCAGGAAAGTGCTGCAGGCCAGCTTCTCTTGCCCTGGCTGCTGCTCAGAGCTTAGAGTGCTGGCCTGTGCACAGAAGGGCCGCGGGGTCAAAGCCTGGTCAAGGGCATGTACCTGAGCTGCAGGTTTGATCCCTGGCCCTGTCAGGCATGTGTGGGAGGCAAACAACCGATGTCTCTCTCACACCGACGGTTCTCTGTCTCTTTTTCTCTCTTTCCTCCTTCCTCTTTTCCTCCTTTTCTCCCTTTCCCTCTTACTCCCCCCTTCCCCCCTTCCACTTTCTATAAAACTCAATGACAAAAATATCCTCAGGCTAGGATTTTTTAAAAATGTATTTTTATTGATTTCAGGGAGGAAAGAGAGAGAGAGAGAGAGAGAGAGAGAGAGAGAGAGAGAGATATCAATGATGAGAATCACTTATCAGCTGTCTCCTGCACACCGGGGATTGAGGCAGAAACCCGGGCCATGTACCCTTGACTGGAATCGAACTCAGGACCCTTCAGTCCACACAGGCTGATGTTCTATCCATTGAGCCAAACCAGCTAGGGTGGATTAGGATTTACAAACCAAAAAAAAAAAAAAAAAGAGCCAGCTTCTCTTTTAAGAATTCCATCCCATAGAGGACTTAGAACTGAGACACTTGGTTAATCTGTTACATTCCAACAGGCTCACGTCCAAGTCCAAGATAAAATGATCACTTGCCGAAAGTCAGTGTTCGCTAACGTCCAAGGTGACGTGTGGGCTGAGGCGTGCGCTGCTCGGAGCCTGTGCAGCCTGCCCGTGCCCCCATGCCCGGGTGGCCTGACTCTCCCACGGCTCACGTTTATGAGGTCACTTAAGCTCCCAGCTCATCTCAAGTTGAACAAATGCTAAACTAAAAACACAGCGAGAACAGCTCTGCCTCACCACCAGGCCTGTAAGAAAGTGAGGTGGACAAGGCCCATGCGGAGCTCAAGCACCAGACCAGCTGGTCTCTCTCCCATTTCTTTTGCTGACACAGACCTTTTAGAAACATGCAACCTGGCAGAAGTCAGACTAAAAACTGGCCAAAATAATTCCAATGTGTCTCAACCAATGCTACTCCAGGTCGAGCTCACCCGCCACGGGCTGTGACAGAATCTCCACTTATAAACACCTGGGTGGCTCCCAGCTTCACTCGCCGTTAAGGTCGACGTAGGGTCAACCTGCGTGACGGGAAGCAGCACAACACGGGGGACGGCATGGTCTGGGTGTCCGGTCCCAGCTGCTCACTCCGCTGGGACGCCTGCACGTGTCTCAATGGCGTGGGCACTGTGGAAGCAGGAGAGCAGCGATGTCTACCTTTCCTAACCATCCTTCTGCAGCAGTGGTCTCCCTAGCCCCACGGGGAGCAGGATGCCACCCCATTCTGCTAGCGAGGACGCCGGGCCACACACCACAGACCAGGCAGAGCCAGGACCCCACCCCAGGTCTGTGCCTGTCGCCCCAATGTTTCCATCCAAGCAGCGACCGCGGCTGGGGAAACCAGATTTGCTGGGCCAGGCAGGACTGGGCCGCTAGGCCTCCGCTCAGCAACGAGCCCGGGCAGCATTGCCCAGGTGTACTTCTTGCCTTGCACAATGTCGCCCACAGAGACAACCCAGCTCACAAAGGGGAACCGTGAAGGCCCATGAATTCCTAGCAATCCCACCCCACAAGGCAAACCCCAAATGCCCCCTGCTCACGGGCTCCGTCACGTGGCTCTGCCTGCCTGAGGGCTCTGATCATAGCACCGCACGGACACGGGTCCTGCAAGGCCGGGTGCGGAGGAGGAGGCAGGCTCTGCGGTCCCAGGGAAGCGTGTCAGTCAGTCCACAGAGCGTGATCCCGGGGACCCCGACCTTCTGATGGGGCAGGGCCGACCCCACGGGGA